CGGCCTGAACGGCTGCTGCTGCCCTGGGGCTCTCCGGCCCCGGGGGCGGGGGGGGTAAAGGGCTGACTGCGATGATGACATAAGGCCCGGCCGTATTAGGGACAGAAGCAGACGCCTGGGGAGCGTCACCAGCTTGGTGGCACTCCGCCACACAACAAAGCAAGGGGGCCTTTGACTGCCGCTAACGGCGACCTGAAGCCCCCTCTCGCAGAGGCGCCCCGCTCTCCCGGGCGCTCGGAGGAGCGATGCGGGAAAGGGCAGCATGCTCCAGGGATTCCCCTAGTACAGAAGGACGGATTCGAGAGCGGGTGGCCAGAGCTCTCCTCAAACACCTGAACCCAGCAGGGCACAAAGGACAGTCACGAACTATGCTGACAAACAGACTCCAACTATAAGCAAATTATTCAGGAAGGTGGTTATATTGGCTTTTACCCCTTCTGAAAATGTGGGTCACAATTTAAGAAGTCTTTTTCTTCTCTGCTGGCAAAACACTTTCTGCAATGGAGACCTTTAAAAGTATTTGAAGCACAGCATCCTCTGGGTTTAAGCAGCTGTGCTCCCTCCTTTACCTGCAGCAGGGTTTGGAATCCTTTGGATACAGCAGCCAGGCTCCCCTTGCCCTGCCAGAGCTCTCCTGGATTGAAAGGACTGGCAGCAGTTTCTCCTACCAAAACGAGGTGGATATTTGTTATTATTCGCTAAGTGCCAGCAATACCTAAAAGGACAGTTCCTGCTCTACACAGATTCTTTAGCACGAACCAAAGAAGGAATCTGAACTGGAAAGTGTATATGGACATACCCCTCTACCATCCTTCCTCAGATGCTAACCATGCAACAGGACTCAGACTTGCCCTTGGCCTTTACATAGTGACACGAGGCATAAATAAGCTGATCCGAACAAAAAAAAGCAAACCCTTCACACATCTTTGCCTTCAGTTTTTCAACCACTCTTGATGCACTGTTAGCCGAGGAAATCGCAGTTTTGTGGTGTAAGCCAGGAATTAGCAGCAGCCCTGCGTCTCTGACCCGGGCCAGTCCCTCAGCTACGTTACTCACTCCATTTCTTTCTCTAGAGCATTCCCTTGTATGGCCCTGAGTCTGTTTATACATCCCCATGCCAACAGCTTTGTTTTGCTGTGGTTTTGCACTTTCCACTTCGTTCGTCAGCTTCCTATGGACAAGCAGGAACTTCTCCCAGGTCTTGGCCATCCTACTAGCACATAATACTAAGGCCAAGTACTCTTCATAGTAGCTGGTGTACAATAGCAGATGCTACCATATAGAAAATTTTCCATATGCACATACACCTTCCATTATGCATTTCTTTTCATAACATCTTTACCTAAGTCATCTCCCTCCCAGAGAGCATCTTGACTTAAACTCCCAGCAAGTCTGGAGGTCAGCAGCACCCAGTACTGAACGTGCATCCCTTCAAGGAGCTTCTCCCTTTCTCTTTTGGCTGGGTTACCAGCTTAAACCAGCTTCACCCTTTGGAGATACTCATCTCCCCTCCCTTATACCCAAATGTGGAAAAATTTGGTAATTGTGGTGCTTCAGAAAAGTTCACTCTTTTATTAAGAGGGAAAAAAACCCCAAGACCTCATATTAGTAGGTTGATGGCCTACGTACTGGAATTGAAAAATTTCTTCTGTCTCCAACACGCACTTTGTCTAGCAAATAGCATCAGCACTTCCCTCTGCTTGAAGTGATTAGATCATAATTGCTAATATTTCCCAGTCTACTTTGCTTAATATCAACTCCTGCTTCAGTACTTTCATCAAAACCACAAAAAACACCCCTTTTTGAATATGAACATAAATTTCTCACTTAATTTCTCGCTCTCACAGCAAACTACAAGGCAGGTTCCTTAAGGCTAAAAGAACAATAGTTAATATAAGTGGAAGAAAAAGCTGAATAATTATTCATATACTAGTTTTTGTTCGGTTGGTTTTAAGTAAGCAGTAACTGAGATCTGTGGACAAACTGAAAGCAAGCTGTCTCACAGCTAAGTTCCGAAAAGCACAGAAGAGACTGGCACAGAATCTGGAACATTAAGCAGCATATCTAGAATGACGGAGACAAACAACTTAAAAAAAAAAAGTAACTATACAAAATTGTACTATGCAACAGCCATTACCATTCTTTTGTATGAGCTGCAAATCAGACAACTTAAACCTGTCACAACTTGAGACGCACCAGTTCTTCAGACGCTGTCTTCATGCCCTTGCACAAGACAATAGGGTAAGATCTCTAATACAAACATCTCCGGCACCTATCAAATATCCATCATTAAAGCAATGCTCCTGAGAACTCAAGTATAGTATTCTGGACATCTTAGACAACAGACTGTTCAAAGCAACCTTCTACCCCTCATTAAAATAGGTAAAGGGCTAAAAGCAGGACCATTTACAAGGAAGTAATCAAAGGAAATCTTAATATATGTACACTGTCAGCCTGAAAACTGGCAAGACCATTCCTAAAAATCTTCAACTGAGAAAAAGAAGGTAGCGACAACATCAAATGTTGGTAAGAAAATGAGAACAATGCTGCACAGAAAACAAAGGAAGACGGCTACAGCAATCACAGGCTGCTAAGCTACATCTCAGACATCTGCAACCAAAGTGCTACAAAAGTTGGACTAATTTCTCTGTTATTAAGGCACTTAAGCTAAAACAGACATCAGTTCAATAGCAGACTACATCATCATTTTGGACCTTTTGTGGGACTATAAGAAGGAAAACATTTGGCATGAAAATACATTATTTAACTTTAATGAGACTTATTTTTAATCTCTCTATATGCATAGCCCAACTCTTGGGGCTCAGCTCACTGTGAGTGGTAAAGAGAAAAGACTGCATGTTCACAAACAATTCCTTAAACTATTTAAAGACAGAACAATTCTGTTAAAAAGTTAAAATGGACAAAGATGTTCCCTTCCAGCCTGTAAGACAGGATTATACTATAGATGTGGACGAGAGTGAACAGGTAAAATCAGTGTAAACATGTATACATATGCACCATTCTGTGGGCCTGTGCATTGCAGCAGAAACACAGCAAAAAAAAAAAAAGCACCTGGCTGACTCGGAGCTGTCAGCATGGAAGATCAAACCAGCGTTAGCTCTATACAGAGTGGCAGCAGCATACTGTCAGGGCGGTAGTCAGGAGAATGGGAGAGTGACTTTTCTTTATACAGAACAGCAACATCCTTACTGCTCTCCAGAAGAGAAGAGGTCCGACTGACAAAATAAATGAAGGTGTTATCCAAAGGCTGACACCTACACTTGTGTTCACTCTCTCCAGGCCCTTACAAGAACAGGTGCCCGATGACACACAGGCCAGCAGAATACATCGCACAAATCAGGTGTGTTGCTTTTGTCAGTGACAGTAACTTTTATTGTCTTTACAATACAAGATAATACAAACTATTAAAAAGTACTTTTGTTTGGTAAAATATTTAGTACATTGAAAATATAAATGCATCTTCAGATCAAACAAGATTACAAGCATACCAAATAATATACAAAATTAAACATTTATCCTGATCAAAGAAGTATAAAAGCCAACAGTTCCATGCTCCTGGCACCTCATGTTTTGTAAGTAAAGAATTTCATTCTTTTGTGCACTAATCCTACTCCTTCCCCTAAGCACGTGAAACAGAAAAGGTCAGTTATGTAGTCAGTAAAGGCTTGGGGGGGGGAGGGGTAAGACTAAGAATAATGGCAATTCCTCTTGCAAACCCACTTCTCCACTTATGTTGGAATGTGTACTATGCTAGAAAGCCATTTTAACTTCACTTTCCCACTATTGCCAAGATTGAACATGAACAGTTTTATATTGTGTTTAAAAAACATAAGTTCAGATAACAACCCAATTTTACAATTTTATGCTTTTATACACATGCAGTTTTTCTCTCCCAGGAAGATAAAATACATTAGTTTTCTTTTATCATTTGAATTATTCCTTTATAAGCACTTTCAGGTAAGACATAATTTCAGTAGCAGATGACCAAACCAGAACAGAACACTCTACAGGACTGAGATCTTGGGCCAGCCGAGAAATCTTTTTCTCCAAGGTATACCCCTGCCTGGGCATAGCAATATCATCCTTCTTCAAAAACATTACTGGACATAAGTCATTCCCACCATCACCTATATATACAATTTGTGTATAACTTACTCCTCGCTCTGACTGTTTATCTAGAAATTCTTTTAAAACCTTCCTTTTGCAAAGGTTTTTAGGGCACTTTGCACAATGGTGAGCATGGAAGTTCTGTACAGTAAGATAGCCAGTACTGCTGAATGCTGCAGGGTTTGTAAACACTTCATCAAACACGTTATGGAGGTCAGCAGCTTTCAAAATCCAGTCAATAAATACTGTATTAGAATCTGAAACAATTATGCAGTCAAACAACTCTTTGTTCTCGCCAATAAAACCTAGAAGATCTACCATTCCCGCAGTGAAAGGAATTGTTGTCATAGTTCTTTTCATCTCCTCTTCTTCGACGCCATTGTCTCCCAAGTAGACAAAGACTCTGCCCATACATTCTGTCCAGTGTCCTGGTCGGTAGGAGTTTCTTAATCCATTAGGAAGTTTTTTCTCAGGAGCACATTTCACAATCCAGGTATCACTATTTTCATCTATGATTGTATGGTCAAAATCAAAAACCAACAGAAATTTCATAGCTGTCAGAAAACAGTTTCCAAGACAAAAAGAGAATTATTTATATAAACAAGAGTGCTGAATGCCTACCCTGATCTTGTGCTCAGAAGACAAAAATTCTGCAAGAAAATTAAGCGTTCGGACAAATATCCAAACCAAGTAAACTATTTATGGCCACTACAGCTAGGGGAAGTTGTGCTGAAGCTACAAAAGCAGTCTGTAAAGGTCAACGTCCTCGTTCAGTATCAAACCTGTTTGAAATAGACAATGTGAAAGTACCTGAGCTCATGCTGCATAGTTACTAATACTTGCTAACACAGAGTGAATCTTCCAGTACTCATGCACCATCAGTTTGACCAACGTTTCTAAATTTCTCCATCATCACTTGCCAGTGCAACCAAACTGGGATTCTCCTGGCAAAACACCTTAAGAGATATTTCAAAAGGAAACCACTACTGAACAGATGGAGCCAGTCTTTTTGACAAGGACGCGCCAAATCAAAGCAGCCAACAAAATGAAATACTGCCATTTGTGGAGCTGAAAAAAAAAAAAATCGGTCTGCTTGCAGTAGTCCTGCAACTTCCGTACCTGCAGCCCACCTCTGGGCTACGGAAATCCCTGGGAGCAGGAGACACCTCCTCCGGTACTTAGAGCCCTTCCCTCACAGGCAAGTTCTCTCACACCCGTTACACGAGCACCGCCGCTCCCTCAGCCCCAGGCGTCCCTCAGGCCAGCTCCCCAGCGCCCGCAGCCAGCAGGCCACGCAGCCACACAAGCAGCCCCCTCCCACCCGCAGCACAGCAGCGACGCCCGCCCGGGCCGCAACGACCGGGCCGAGGGGGAAAGCAGGGCAGCCA